ACCATAGGCTGGTACAGAAGAGAAGCTATATTCCAGGTAGCAAAATGAGTATAATGAAGAAGAGGGTTGGCCCTACTGAACAGAAGGAGATTACAAAAAAAAAATCAGTAATGCAGTAGAATAGTCTGGTGGATGCTGCACTGTATGAAGTAACATCTACTGAAAGAGGTGTCAGAATGTTCACTCATTCTGAGTGATCTGATTGGCTGAGCATGCATACACAGGTCCTCTTAAAATGGATTCTTATGGCAATTTTTTTTGATGCGGAAATGGTTTTCCCCCACCCCTCCCGATGAAAGTAGGATAATAAAAACCTAATCTGTGCTGAACAATGTCTATTAAACTTTAGACTGGTGAATTTGAGATTTATCCTCTACAGCAGTAGTTCTCAAAGCCGATCTGCCGCTTGTTCAGGGAAAGCCCCTAGTGGGCTGGACCGGTTTGTTTACCTGCCGCGTTCGCAGGTTCAGCCGATCGCGGCTCCCACTGGCCGTGGTTCGCTGCTCTAGGCCAATGGGGGCTGCGGGAAGCGGCGCGGGGCAAGGGATGTGCTGGCCGCCCTTCCCGCAGCCCCCATTGGCCTGGAGCAGCAAACCGCGGCCAGTGGGAGCCATGAATGGCCAAACCTGCAGACGCAGCATGTAAACAAACTGGTCTGGCCCACCAGGGGCTTTCCCTGAACAAGCGGCGGACCAGCTTTGAGAACCACTGATCTACAGTACATGTGAAGAAATGAACCTGATCAGGCATAACAATATCTAATTTTTTTAAAAGGGTGCTTTTGACACCCTCTGCACAAGACATTTTTCATTGGCAAAGAAATTCTAACCTACGTAGCACCAAGATGAAATGTGTATCCCAGTCAGACACAGTATCCATGAAAAACTAGTTGAAAACCGACTCTCGGAGTCTTTTGACTACACTGGGAAGATGTATCATGTTAGAAAACCATCAACTAATGCATTTTAACTAAAATGCTAATTAAACATGATTTTGCCCCTTATATGGGTAAAGATAGTTGTGTTTAAAAATATGAAGCAGGTCATGGTTAACCCAGGGGGAGACCTGTCAGGGTGGTCACTGGGTGACTCAGTGAAGCAGAGGTGGAGCTCATTTGGGCAGGTGCAGGTGGATGCTAGTGTAGGGCCAGCTGAAAGCCTGAGGCAGGAGCCATGCATGCTGGACGCCAAAGCAGTCTGTAACACCACAAGGCAGAGGGAGAGTTCCCAGCCAAGTGGTGCCGTTGCACAGACTGGCTGACTGCTCTTTCTGTGGGGTAAATAGCTGTCCACAGGGGTCATCTGACTTGGTCCTGGCTTGTGTGTTGGCTGTTGCAGCATGCCTGGGGGATGAGTCATTGCAGGCTCTGGCTGAGGGATTACCTCACAAGACCCAGGTGTTAACCATGACCAGTTAAAATTTTTTAAACACAACCCGTGCCTGTGTACAGTTGGTACTAAGTAGTGTTTTACATAATGTTAATTAGAATATGTGTTATGATTTGTTGTCTTAGCGGAGACATGGTCTAAATGTGCACATAGGTAGTATATTGATACATCATAAACCCTGAGGAGTATCTTTGCAACTCATTGTATGGCTCCATAGAGCAGGCTTTGTCTATCGTGGGTATCCAAACCTGGTGTTGGACTAGCTAGATAGTAGCTCATAATTATTTTCCAATGAGAGGTCAGTGACACAGATATGATATATGTGTGACATAACTGGGTCTTAAATTGTAGAATGAAAGTAGGGGGAAAACACTGGGAAATTTATTTATTCGGTTAACTACCCTGAAAATTAGAAGAAATTGGCATCTTTTAAGAACAGGAGTGAATATTTGACAAATAACTCTGATAATACAGGGCTGGAATGTAACCCATCTAGAGCCAAACCCAGGGAAATAAGATATCCAATAAAGAGTTTCCATGGGCTAACTAAGAAACAGAGCAATTCACACACCAAACAGGAACACATAAGAAAAATCCCAGCCAAATTACCACTTCTCAACACTGGAGAAATATCAAAAAGGGATTCAGGTGGTAACAAGTAGAGTGCAAGATGCACAGCTGAAAGATATTGGGAAGAGACCTCCTACTTGCGCGAAGACTAGGGACAAGACCCCTGAGATATTGTATATGACACACACTTACACAGTACTCACTTAAGTACTAGAACTGTTTGAATATTGTTACATCTTTATTAGTATTGTAATGCACATTGGGAACCAACAGTGGTAAAAGAACTATGTAGCTGTAAGTAGTGATTATAACAGTTTACAATTTTTGATTGAATGAGTTGGTGATATTATTCCAGTCCTAGCCAATAGATGTCCTCATTGCAAAATTATTGCCACAAAGTAGTACCTTTGTTGCTAGGCTCCTCAGGGAGGCAAAGATTGAAAGGACATGAAGGCTTAGCTACCTTCTCATTCCCTAGAGATGGTTTCTCAGTAATGGGTTGAGAAACATTAGTGTGAGAGAGCTTTCCTTTTTACTATTGCCCATGCTGGTGTTCCTATGTGGATAAATCCTTGGACTAAAGTCATCTGTTGTCTTTTCACCACTTGTTATAAACACTAAATTCACTCAGAAGAGAAAAATAATCATTGTGGGTCCTAATGTATACATGCCTAACTGCAGCACATTACTTGAGCAGTAGGCTACAAACTGCTTCTTAAGTACTGTGAATAATATGTAATTTTAAGGCATTTATCACCACAATGCACAGTGCCCAATTCAGCAACGTACTTAAGCACGTCTAACTTAAACAGGAATAGTCCCATTGAAGACAATTTACGCCCACTTTAAGGTCCCTTTGCGCGCTGCTAACAGTGTAACAGTGCATTAGTGTAAATGAGACTTGTATACTACAGGACACCATCTGCTGTTCATTCCACTCTTCCCCTGAGAGTCTGGTTTTCCAGGCATAAATATCTAAAGGAAAAACCAATGTAAAACTTGCAGTGTGATGGATGTAAAGTTTGTCATTCTCAATGTTGGGAGTGCCTGTTGGGAATTACCAGGCCGAGAGGGACAAGTATCCAGACAAGGGATGGAAGAAGGGCTATTAATTCATCAATTCTCTTCCTAAAGTTAAATGTGCAGACATTTAAACAATATTATCTGTGAGGGCTTGGAGGTGGCATTGTCTGTTATCAGTTGTATCCGTTTTTTGACTTCCATGATTCAGCATGGAGAGCAATGGTCTCAAGGATAGATGCTTGCAGGCACCCATGGGTATAGCAAAAGGCTGAAATATGACAGAGTTTATTTTGAGGGGTTGGGTGGGGAAAGGAGGTCAGACTTGTAAAAGCAAAACTAAGGCTGCTGTGGATGGGCCAACTATGGTTAGGCAGCTGGTGTGCTGTGACCACTGCTTATTGTTCCGTATTTAATTTGTCTCATTGTTACCTGGTGCTTCCCCTACCTGGTGGTGGTTTGTGCTTGTTATCACTCATTTCATATTTAGATTGTAAGCTCACTGAGGCAGGGACCATTTCTTTGTTATGTATTTGTACAGTGCCTAGCACAATGGGGTCCTGCTTCCTGATTAGGGCACCTATGTACTACATAATATAAATAATAATGGGTAATTGGGCAATCAGCTGATTATGGCTGGCTCTGTGTAACAAGAAATGGGGCAACAAGCAGTTTGAAGGTTACTAGGATTTAATCATGTTCAGAACCTCTGGAAAGAGATTCCGATAGTTAGTAACCCCAGTCCTCCTGGTGTTGTGTATATATAATCAATGAATGCCTTATCTTGTGGCTGCAGCACAGGAGGTGGAGTCAGGAGTTCTGGGTTCTTGTCACAGACAATCTGTGGCAAAACTGAGGCCTCAGGAAAGTAATTTAACCTTTGTTTCAGTTGATGGCTATCAGTTGATGGATTCTTCATGGATGGAGTGGTGTTTACAGATATTAGTGAACTAACCTAAAGTCTTTTGAGAACGCACAAAGTACTAGGATTGTGAATAATAGAAAATGTAAGATATATACTGGTCCCCTGGTGTTTGGCTGATAAAACAATAATGATTCCCTTTCTTAAGTGTGGATGTTAGCAGTTACCTTGCTCCCAGGGAGGTGGTCCTTTGCTTAAGGTATTATAAAGAATAAAAGCAAGTCCCAAATTTGTCTAGGTTGTCAGATTGGTGAGCCCTGAGTCTGTTCTCCAAGTCAGTGGTCTGCATTTCCCTACTGGAAGCCAATCAGTTCAATATTGCCCCTGCTTTCAACTTACTTCTCAGTGACCTTAAGCTGAAGGTCCCTCCCTCCATGCTTGGAAGTTCAGGCTGTTTCTCCTGGGCAGGACAGTTGTCTTCTCTTATCACAGTGATGGATTACTGTTCTCACCCTGTAGAGTGTTGTATAGGGACATCCCATCTCTGCCATCCTTTGTTTCCTAGACTGTGTCATCCAGCTGTCCACCTCCATAGAGTTTTAGCCATTTGGTTTTTGAGTGACTTTTCACCTTTCTCTTTAGAAAATAACTGGTCATAAAAGGCAGTAGGGGCTGCCATAGCTTCTTAATAGAAGTGGCAAAGACCACCCCCCCCTTTGGATGGTCATCCAGTTTAGAATGCTGCTAAGAAAATACCCACCAGTCATGTCCTGAGATCTAAGGGCCACAAGCTGGGAATCTGTTCCAATAACATACTTGTAAATCTTGGTCTCAGAAGGTAATGATTTTCTTTACTTGCATCACAGAGGTGTGTTTGACCTCAGTATTTGGAGAATGATTTGTGACCTTCTGAAGGTGATGAATGCAAAGTATTATTATTAATTATTAGTATTAATATAATTATAAGAAGAAAAAAGATCCCCCTTTACATATAGTTATATGCACAATCTTTGTTGAACAAAGGAATAGTTGTCTCAGTTTCTCTGATTTTTTATTTTATGGGGGTTCTTCCATTTTTTTAAAAATCAAACAAGCCTACTAGGTTAATGTGAAATTGGATCCTTGGAGCAAAAGATACTTACCTTATCATTTTGCTACAGGAACTATTGTCCGGCGTCATCGAATTCCACTTCCACCTCCTAATGAAGATCAGTTTTATACTGTAGATTATTTCAACATCAATACAGAAGTAATCTTTTATGCCCAAAGGTATAAGATTGTAGATTGTGATCAATTCACAAAAAATTTTTTGAGGAAGCTGGGAGTTCGATTAAATCCTCCAGCATATCATCCAGAAGATCCATACACCAGAGCCCGGCAAAAGGTAAGGCAAGACAGTGATGGTGAAAATCTAATTTTACAAACACAAAAGCCTCTGTGAATTCATATGCAAAGAACATTTCCCCAGCAAATTAAAAATGTGTCCAAGTAACTATTTTAATATATGTTAATTAAATTTGGAATTAGTACCAAAAAATAAAGCAAAAAAGAAAACACCAATTTGGTATACTTTGACTCACTATCACAAGCAATAGCATGTAATATAGTCCCAGACAAGTCAATTTTCCTGTTGATGTGCACATCTACTTTGAAGCAGAGGGGAAGCATTTGGGGAATAGCTAGCATGAGAAAGTCTTATGATAAAAGCAATATCTGTTGTGTGTATTTCCTTGATAAAACAGTTCTTATCTGTTACTAAAAATTGTAAGAACACAGGAGTGAAATTGTCTTCAATATTTGTGTGCATGTAACTGCACAATATTACATTTAATATCTGTATAAAATGAGTTGCTTCCAGCCCTATATGTAGTGAATCAGAATTATTAGAGACTTAGTATAAAGAACGAGATTGTCTCTAATAAATCTGATTCACCACGTGTAGGATTGGAAGTAACTCTTTTAATATAGATATTAACTGTAATACTGTGCTAGCTGTTTCCCAGATGCCTCCCCTCTGCTGAAAAGTAGCAAGAATTCCTCATGGTTATTTCCCACATAAGCGCTCAAATGGGGAGAATCTAGGAGATGATCGGGGAACTTCTCAAATAGCAAACAGGGGAGGAATCAGATGATCCAAGTAATGTGGGCCCTCAGCAATAAACTTTAACATCGTTTTCAGAGTCTGGTTGAATTCTTCAACCAGACCGTCCATTGGCGGATGATAGACAGACATATATAGAGTCTTTCGTTTTAGTAGATCACACTTCAGTAGCCAAGACATAAAGTTGGTGCCTTGATCAGTAAGACTCTCCTTAGGTACTCCTTACTCTGGCAAAGATTTTTAGCAGTTCTGCTGTAATAATCTTTGCATTGAGGGCATGCAGTGGGATTGCGTCAGGATAGCGGATTGCGTAATCCACTGTAACTAATACGTGTTTGCACCCAGCGGCACTTTTTTCTAAAGGCCCTAAGAGTTCCATGCTGAGTCTTTCAAATGGGATGCTTACTATGGGGAGTCAGACCACAGGGGGCTTTTGTCACTCCTTTAGGTCCTACCTGCTGGCATGTGGGGCAGGAGCCTTTGACTTCTTGGTGAATTCTGAGCCCAAAAAATGTGATCCAGAATCCTGACAGGGTCTTCTCATGATTGAGGTAACCCGCAGAGAGGGTGTTGTGAGCCAGTCGCATAATCTCGCACCTATGAGGCCGGGGAATGAGGAGTTGCAACTGAACTTCACCTGTCAGTTGGTCTTTCTCCAGTTGGTACAGTTGCTCTGCCTGGAGCTCAAACCAGGGGTACTGCTCTGCTCAGAGGCGGATTTACAGTGAAACACAGGGTGCCCTGCCACGGGGCCCCCCCAACAACAGGGCCCCCCAGAGCCGGGCAGTTGCGGGGACAGAAGCTTGGTCCTGCCAGCTCCTGGGGCTCCTGCTGCAGGCTCTGCACCCACCGGCAGCCAAGGTCCCCCCTCCCCCACCTTTCCCTCCAAGTGTGCTGCGTTCCTGCCCCTCCTCCTCCTCCTCCCCCTCCCCCTCCCCCTCCCTCTCCCTCCCAGCACTTCCCCCGCTGCCAAACAGCTGTTTGCAGGCGCTCAGGTTGCTCTGGGAGGGATGAGGAGGAGCAGGGCTGCAGCGCGCTCGGGGGAGGAGGCGGAGAAGAGGTGGGGGCAGGGCCTTGGGGAAGGGGGTGGAATCAGGGCAGGGTGGAGCAAAGGCAGGGCCCCCACACTCCCCCTACACCTACACCCTCCCCAGCCCCCTGCCACGAGCTGCTCAGGGCAGGGGGCTGGGAGCACTTCCATGACCCCAGCCCTGACTCCTGCACCACCCCCATCCACACCCCTACTCTGAGCACCAAATGGGAGCTCCTGCACCCTCCCCCCCACATTCCCACCTGCACCCCTTGCACCAAATGGGAGCTGCCCCAGGTAAGTGCTCCACACCCCAACCTCCTGCCCCAACCCTGAGCCCCCTCTTGCATCCTAACTCCTGGCCAGACCCTACACCCCCTGCCCACCCTGACTCCTGCACCCCCCACACCAAAGGGGAGCTGCCCCAGGTAAGCGCGCCACTCCCCTGCCCCAGCCCTGAGCCCCCTCCTGCACCCCAACTCCCAGCCTGCTCCTGCACCCTAACTCCCTCCCAGACCCTGCATCCCCAGCCCCGAGCCCCCTCCCGCACCCTAAGTCCTGGCTAGATCCCTCACCCCAATGTTTTTTTACATTTTTTTTTCATCGAGCGCTCTTATCCAAAGTGCTTTACAATCGTTAGCTAACGGTACAAACAATATTGGGAAAGATCATTAAGTGGTCTGCCAAGACCCTCAGTGATTTTCAAGTGGTCGGTGGAAAAATAAGTTAGACTACAAGAACAATCAAGGTACCTCACTTTATTTTCATTTACTTCCTATTACTTATAGGAGGAGGATGAAGAAAAAAAAGAATGAAAAATGGGGGCAAGGGGGCAATAAGAGAGAATGTTCTTTTTCTTGGCTGGGTCCCAAGGAGGAGCCCCAAAAATGAAGCTGAGCACAGGGCCCCCACTAACTCTAAATCTGCCACTGGCTCTGCTTGTTGAGGGTCTATCACCTACCTGTTCACCACTGGCAGTTGGCTGTAAATGGGGTCCTACCAAATTCACAGGCCATTTTTGGTCAATTTCATGATCACAGGATTTTAAAAATCTGAAATTTCATGATTTCAGATATTTAAATCTGAAATTTAATGGTGTTATAACTAAGGCGATGTTTTAGTCATGTGTATTTTTAGTAAAAGTCACGGACAGGTCATGGGCAGTAGACAGAAATTCATGACCTGTCCGTGAGTTTTTAGTAAAAATATCAGTGAATAAAATTTGGCAGGGGGGACTGCCCACATGAAAAGCAAACTCCCACTGCTGGCTGAGTGGGCACTGGCCCTAAGCCTAATATTTGAGGTAGCCTTTCCTTACGTGGCTTGTCTGCTCCCATACCTTGGCTTTCCTGCAGAGGAGTCTATGGGGCTCCCAGTGACCTTTGTTGAGCTGAGATGCTGTGGTTTCCCAACAGGGACAGCCCGGGGCCCCTTAGAGGCTGGTGCTTCTGAGACCATACCGCCTGATCGCAAATACCCCTGGTGAGTCGAGGGGCTCCCTCGGCGTCAGGCAGGTTCTTGTGTGATGCTGCCAGAGCCACTTCAGCAGCTAGATCATCTTCCATCAGCCAGACAGCCTCGGCTAGGGACTCTGGCTGGTGTTTGAGCACCTAGTGCCTACCCCGAACTGGAAGCATGTGGGCAAACTGCTCCATCCATGATGAGCTCAGCCAGCTGAACTCCTGTCCAAATCTCTGGCTTTAAATACCTTCAGCATAGGTCCCAATTTCTGGGCAACCATGTAAGGTCAGGCTCCCTGGGGGTATTTCTCCCCATGGAACCTCTGTCAGAAGGTCTTCTCCATGATGTCAGGGTAGGTGAGTATAGCTGCTTTCACTTGTACGTAGTCTTGGGCACACACAATGTCCAGCCCCTGATATGTAGCCTATGCCTGTCCTGTCAGGTCAGGTGGCTACTGGGCTGCTGTTGCTACTCACTCAAACATTGCCAGGAAACCCTCTGGGTCCATCCTCAGGTCTCATCTTAGTGAGTTTCACTGACTGGTGAGGCCTATGGGCTCTGGAGGGGAAACTCCTGGGAGACCCTGAGCTGCATCAGACCCTTAATTGTTGACCAGCCTTTGCTGCTGTTCCTGCAGTTGTGCCTCTAGGGCCCAGGCCAGCTGTTGCTGTTGGGCTGCCACTTGCTGCAGGAGTTGCGGCTTCTGCTGCCTGTTGCTGCTGCTGATTCTCTGTCATGCACTTGAGAAGATGCTTGAGATCCATGTTGTCTGACCTACCAACTCAGACCTGTAGAGGTGTAGGGTGTTTGACCATCTGGGTCAATCAGTCTTCATCCTCTCCAGGGGTGGGGAGGAGTCCTGCATTCTTCAGCAGTTGTGAAGGGGTTGACTCACTGATGGTGCCTACTTGTGGTGAGGCATGGCATAGCAGCTCTCTCCCCGCTGGGTATCTCCTGGCGATGGTTGCTTCTCTGTGGTGATCTCCTTCTTCCTGTGACTTGGTCCTCCAGCGAGGTCACTTCACAGTCCCTTCACTTCTGGGGTGGGGTGGTCCATGAGCAAAAAACTTAGGGAATTAATGCAAATAAACTGAATTAATAAGAGACAGAGGGGAATGACTCCGTCTCAGAGTGTGTCAGAGTCTGGCCCTCACTTCCCTCAGGGAAGGCTTCAGGCAGTAGTTGTCGGGGAAGCTCCTGCCTTCAGTCAGCCCTTTCCTCAGGGGCTGAGCATTGACTGTCTGTCCTCTTTGCAGGTATGCCCACAAATGAGCTGCTGTTAAGCTTCTCCTTCAGCCTGTGAATGCTTTGCAAGTTTAGCAGGCGGAGCTGCCTGAGCCCAGAGTATGTCTTTAACCCTGTGTTGTTCAGCGTGGGGTTTGTATACCCAGTCACAACATCCTGCTTATGATATTGCTTAGGCTGAATGAATACTAATAAACCTATTAGTCCTCATCCTAAGAGGAAACCTGCACAACACTTTTTCAAAAGACGAGCCTGGAAACTTGCATTCAGAACTCTGGTAGACGCTAAAAAACATGGACTGAATAGAAACATTGGATTTATGGCTTATTACAACAATCTGTAACCCATTAATAACCCCCTCCCAGCTTCCTCCTCCCCCTGCCACTTCACCTTTAATAGTCCCTTGAAATATGGGTTAACTGCTTGTGCCAAACAATCTGTTCCACTTTATATTTAACTGTGACACTCAGAGTACATTTCCCAGACTTAAAAAAGAGCTCTGTGTAAGCTTGAAAGCTTGTCTCTCTCACCAATAGAAGTTGGTCCAATAAAAGATATTACCTCACCCACCTTGTCTCCCTAACATTTTTAAAGGTAGATTTAATTGGGATCATGGGGGTCTACCAATACGTTGGACAATAGAGCTATAATTCAGAGGTATGTTGATAAATTGGAGAACTGGGCTATAGACGACAAAATTAAATTCAACAAAGAGAAATGTAAGGTGCTACATTTAGGGAAGAAAAATCAAGTGCACAAATACAGAGTGGGGGATAACTGGCTTGGCAGCAGCACTGCTGAGAAGAATCTGGGAGTTTTGGTGGATCACAACCTCAACATGAGTCAGCAGTGCGATACTGTTGGGGGAAAAAAGAGAAAATGCAATTTTAGGTTGCATTAACAGAGGCATAGCATGCAAGTCATGAACGGTGATAGTACTACTGTACTCGGTGCTGGTTAGGTCTCAGCTGGAGTGCTGTGTCCAGTTTTGGTCACCAATGTATAGAAAGGATGTAGAGAAACTGTAAAGGATCCATAGGTGAGCAACAAAGATGATCCAAGGGATGGAATGCAAGCCATGTGAGCAAAAGCTAAAGGAACTGGGTATGTTTAATTTGGAAAAGAGGAGATTCAGAAGCGATGTGATAGTGGTCTTCAAATACTTGAAAGTTTACCATTAAAAAAGATGGGGAAAAGTTGTTCTCTCTTCCACAGAGGGCAGGACAAGAGACAGTGGGTTCAAACTACAGCATAGCAGATTTAGATTAAATTTCAGGAAAAATGTCCTAACTGTAAGAACTGTAGGACAATGGAACAGACTGCCTAGGGAGGTTGTGGAAGCTCCTTCACTGGAGGTTTTCAAAGGGATTCTGGATAGGGATAGTCACCTGTCTTGGATGGTTTAGACCCAACAAATCCTGCATCTTGGCAGAGGGTTAGACTAGATCACCCTTACGCTCCCTTCTAACCCTATGATTCTATGGTCCAAGCACAAGTGTGACTGTAGATTCATTTGTTTGGGCACTTGTTTTCTGCAGGGCTTGGGATCCGTCTCCCCACAAATCAGGGAAGAGCAGTGGGAGTAGCAACAAGAGATTTTTCCCTGGTCACTTTCTTGAGGGCCATGTCTCCTTTTCTTCCTCACCAGTATGAAGAAGAGGAGGCATTGTGCTTTTTTTCTGACCTGCCCCCTTGGGAGTTGTGGTCAGGGGTTTGCAGACAGTTGTCAGGGGTCCAGCGAGCATCCATGGAAGCAGCAATTAGTACAGACCCCACATGTCTGCCTCTCCCTTCCTGTTGTTGAGGCTCCTCTGTGACAGTGCTCAGCAGTGACAATGGGATTTAACACCCCATAAAGATATATGAGGCAGCCTGCACATCTTGGAAGCTGTGTCAGGCTGTCTGCAGCCTCAGGCAGACATCTGTGCATTAGTTGTCCTTTGATGTTTACAAGCTTTTCACCATAACTACAAGGGCTAGAAAGAAACTTCCTTTATTTTTTTGTCAAATGAAAACGGAATTTTTGAACTCATCACATGACTTCGGGTATTGGGCCTATCCCCTTGTCTTAATCTGACCCTGTAGAATACACCTTTGAGAAAACACACCCAAGATGTATTTTCCCAATGTTGATGAGCTCTTAGTTGGTAGTGGGTGTCTTTGCCAGGTAGCTCTCAGCTTTTATTGGTAAAGGTCAATCCTATTTCTTTTAAGACAATGCAAAATAAACTCACTCAAATGGGGAGAGAGAGAAGAATACCAAAGACAAAAAAATGCAGCTTCTCTCTTTTGATATTTGCAGTTCAGCTACTGGAAAATCATACACACAGCGGTAGTGCAAATTCCAGCTGACTTTGTGGCTCTTGTTTTTCTGTAACTAGTCCGTGGAAGACAAATATTTTATTTTACTATGATTGGGCTGCTCAGGACCACTTTGAACAAGGTGAAGCCTCTCTTGGTTAGCTAAACCAGGCTCTAAATAAGCAGATGGCAAAAAGAGAAAGATATGAAAGAAGCAGGAGGAATAAGGTGGGGATAGAAAATACTACACAAAAAAGGTGCAGTAGGAACGTTAGATTCACATCTCTGCAGTTGCTCAGCGCAGCCATGGAAAAAGTAATGACAGGTTTCAGAGTAGCAGCCGTATTTAGTCTGTATCCGCAAAAAGAAAAGGAGTACTTGTGGCACCTTAGAGACTAACCAATTTGAGCATAAGCTTTCGTGAGCTACAGCTCGTGCATCCGATGAAGTGAACTGTAGCTCACGAAAGCTCATGCTCAAATAAATTTGTTAGTCTCTAAGGTGCCACAAGTACTCCTTTTCTTTTTGCAGAAAAAGTAATGTTGCCTAGTTCCCTCCTCTTGTTTAGTCTGGTCACAGCACCTTGGAGGTCTAGGGAAAAGAATGCCAAATTGTGTGGTGGTAAATCCCTGCATTCCAACATTGGGGGATGGTGGTGGCTATGATGGAAGGGCTGGTGCTGGTTGGGTTTGACATGGATATGCAAAGCTTAGGGTCACGTTCTAGAAAGTTTTCAAGTTCCCCTTAAGGAGAAGAAAATATCCCAAAGTTGTTCCATCTAAATGATGTAAAGGTCAAAGGATGCGTCTGCATGTAAGCCATCAAAAACTTGTCTTGATTCATCAAGTTTAGTCTGTTTCTAAAACAATCACGTAAGCTCCCCAGAAGCCTTGAAAATGCCAGATCAACAGTTTTTTCATTTCAAACACCATGGTTTACATCATCTCTTTGACTGCAACCTCTGCTTTTTTCAGCAACTATTTTACAGTAGTTAATTACTGATATAAAATATCTTTGAAAAAATCAAAGAGGGTGGTGATTATCATGAAACGTAGCCATATAGGTACCAATTGAAACTTCAACCAGTTGTTGAAACTTGTGTGGCACAGGTTATTAATATCTTATCGTTAAAAAAGTGACAATTTTCTGATTGGAAGGACTGTTTATAGCAGGAGAAACAAGGATTGAAAAGTCTAAAAATAATTGATCTTTTCAAAAATATACTGAGAGTATCCTCTTTTTTCAAATAGTGCTTTGGCTATGTGGTGTGTGATTTACCGTAGCTAAATTACATAATTTGAAACCCTTAAAACTAATCTGAGAACATGTCTTTACCCTGTGTTTTTTTCCTGCACTTGAGAACACATCATTTTAAAAATGCTCTCTTTCATTTCTCCTTGATCTTCAGATTGCGGATAGTATAAAGCCCTTGCGCCCTTATGAGCGCTTTGACACTCTGAGACAGTTTCTGGAGTACGATGGACACGTTTTACGTTTTTACTGTATGTGGGATGATACAGAATCCATGTTTGGGGACCCACGAGAACTTATTCTGCACTATTTTTTGGCTGATGATACTATTGAAATAAAAGAAGTGATACCAGTAAACTCGGGCCGGGATGCTGTTCCACTTTTCCTCAATAGGAAGAAGCTACCAAAGGTGAAGAATAAAAAATGCAGCATACTTTTAAGTTTTTTTGCCAACTAAAAGCGTAAATGCATTATTTTCAAATTCCTGTATTAGGAGTATAATGTTAATTACAGTATATTATCAAAATGACTGAGTATGACCACAACTACGAGATTTTTTTTCTTGCCCATGTATTTGATCACACAATAGGTACAAAAATTATAAAAAATAATTAGGCTTGGGAATGCTGTACTTAAATCAAGAAGAGAGAAAATTCAGATGGGCGAACTAATAGGTTTGTATTCTACAATTTCCTTTTCCTTATAATTTTATACTAATGGAGAAGTTTAAGTTTAATAGTTTAATACCCCAGCACACCCGTGTAAATCAGTGTAAGTCCATTGAAATCCGTGGAGTTACACCATCATAAAAATGATGTGCATTCAGAATTGGGCCATGATTTTTTCCTAAGTCCTTAGAAAAAGTCCAGTTTCAAGATTCAGCAATGTAAATTGTTGCTAGCAGCTACAGTATCATTGCTTTAACTTGAATTCTTAGAGTCGGGTCTAATCCAAAGCCAAATTGAAGTCAATGGGAGTCATTCCACTGACTTCAATCGATATTAGATCAGGCCCTTAGAGGGGGTCTACTAATTAGTTTAGTCCTCCATAACTTACTTACCATTTTAGAATTTAAACACAATGAGCATGAATCACCTTTGTGTCATTCCATTCTTATACTGGTGATAGACTTGCATCACTGTAGGTCTGGATTCAGAGGAACAGCCGTGTTAGTCTGTTTTTGCAAAAAGAAAAGGAGTACTTGTGGCACCTTAGAGACTAACCAATTTATTTGAGCATGAGCTTTCATGAGCTACAGCTCACTTCATGATATTTTTTTAGGTGGAAAAGCCACCAGCATATATTATAAACAAAGAAAAAAAAAAACAACACCCCCCCCCACCCCCTTCCTGCTGGTAGTATATCATCTAAAATAATCAAAAGGGGGGGCCCTTTCACCCCAAAACCAGGTTTTCTCACCCTCCACCCCCCCACACAAATTCACTCTCCTGCTGGTGCTAGCCCATCCAAAGTGACAACTCTTTACATAATCAAGTCGGGCTATTTCCTGCATAGATCAAGGTTTTCTCACATCCCCCCACCCCCATACACACACAAACTCACTCTCCTGCTGGTAATAGCTCATCTAAACTGACCACTCTCCAAGTTTAAATCCAAGTTAAACCAGAACATCTGGGGGGGGGGGGGTAGGAAAAAACAAGAGGAAACAGGCTACCTTGCATAATGACTTAGCCACTCCCAGTCTCTATTTAAGCCTAAATTAATAGTATCCAATTTGCAAATGAATTCCAATTCAGCAGTTTCTCGCTGGAGTCTGGATTTGAAGTTTTTTTGTTTTAAGATAGCGACCTTCATGTCTGTGATTGCGTGACCAGAGAGATTGAAGTGTTCTCCGACTGGTTTATGAATGTTATAATTCTTGACATCTGATTTGTGTCCATTTATTCTTTTACGTAGAGACTGTCCAGTTTGACCAATGTACATGGCAGAGGGGCATTGCTGGCACATGATGGCATATATCACATTGGTGGATGTGCAGGTGAACGAGCCTCTGATAGTGTGGCTGATGTTATTAGGCCCTGTGATGGTGTCCCCTGAATAGATATGTGGGCACAATTGGCAACGGGCTTTGTTGCAAGGATAAGTTCCTGGGTTAGTGGTTCTGTTGTGTGGTATGTGGTTGTTGGTGAGTATTTGCTTCAGGTTGCGGGGCTGTCTGTAGGCAAGGACTGGCCTGTCTCCCAAGACTTGTGAGAGTGTTGGGTCATCCTTTAGGATAGGTTGTAGATCCTTAATAATGCGTTGGAGGGGTTTTAGTTGGGGGCTGAAGGTGACCGCTAGTGGCGTTCTGTTATTTTCTTTGTTAGGCCTGTCCTGTAGTAGGTAACTTCTGGGAACTCTTCTGGCTCTATCAATCTGTTTCTTTACTTCTGCAGGTGGGTATTGTAGTTGTAAGAAAGCTTGACAGAGATCTTGTAGGTGTTTGTCTCTGTCTGAGGGGTTGGAGCAAATGCGGTTGTATCGCAGAGCTTGGCTGTAGACGATGGATCATGTGGTGTGGTCAGGGTGAAAGCTGGAGGCATGCAGGTAGGAATAGCGGTCAGTAGGTTTCCGGTATAGGGTGGTGTTTATGTGGCCATTGTTTATTAGCACTGTAGTGTCCAGGAAGTGGATCTCTTGTGTGGACTGGACCAGGCTGAGGTTGGTGGTGGGATGGAAATTGTTGAAATCATGGTGGAATTCCTCAAGGGCTTCTTTTCCATGGGTCCAGATGATGAAGATGTCATCAATATAGCGCAAGTAGAGTAGGGGCTTTAGGGGACGAGAGCTGAGGAAGCGTTGTTCTAAATCAGCCATAAAAATGTTGGCATACTGTGGGGCCATGCGGGTACCCATAGCAGTGCCGCTGATCTGAAGGTATACATTGTCCCCAAATGTGAAATAGTTATGGGTAAGGACAAAGTCACAAAGTTCAGCCACCAGGTTAGCCGTGACATTATCGGGGATAGTGTTCTTGACGGCTTGTAGTCCATCTTTGTGTGGAATGTTGGTGTAGAGGGCTTCTACATCCATAGTAGCCAGGATGGTGTTATCAGGAAGATCACCGATGGATTGAAGTTTCCTCAGGAAGTCAGTGGTGTCTCGAAGGTAGCTGGGAGTGCTGGTAGCGTAGGGCCTGAGGAGGGGAGTCTACATAGCCAGACAATCCTGCTGTCAGGGTGCCAATGCCTGAGATGATGGGGCGCCCAGGATTTCCAGGTTTATGGATCTTGGGTAGTAGATAGAATATCCCAGGTCGGGGTTCCAGGGGTGTGTCTGTGCGGATTTGATCTTGTGCTTTTTCAGGAAGTTTCTTGAGCAAATGCTGTAGTTGCTTTTGGTAACTCTCAGTGGGATCATAGGGTAATGGCTGGTAGAAACTCGTGTTGGAGAGCTGCCGAGCAGCCTCTTGTTCATATTCCGACCTATTCATGATGACAACAGCGCCTCCTTTGTCAGCCTTTTTGATTATGATGTCAGAGTTGTTTCTGAGGCTGTGGATGGCATTGCGTTCCGCATGGCTGAGGTTATGGGGCAAGTGATGCTGCTTTTCCACAATTTCAGCCCGTGCAGCGCTCGGCGGAAGCACTCTATGTAGAAGTCCAGTCTGCTGTTTCGACCTTCAGGAGGAGTCCATCTAGAATCCCTCTTTCTGTAGTGTTGGCAGGGAGACCTCTGTGGATTAGTATGTTGTTCAGAGGTGTGTTGGAAATATTCCTTGAGACGGAGACGTCGAAAATAGGATTCTAGGTCACCACAGAACTGTATCATGTTCGTGGGGGGTGGAGGGGCAGAAGGAGAGGCCCCGAGATAGAACAGCTGCTTCTGCTGGGCTGAGAGTATAGTTGGATAGGTTAACAATATTGCTAGGTGGGGTGAGGGAACCATTGCTGTGGCCCCTTGTAGCATGTAGTAGTTTAGAAAGTTTAGTGTCTTTTTTCTTTTGTAGAGAAGCAAAGTGTGCGTTGTAAATGGCTTGTCTAGTTTTAGTAAAATCCAGCCACGAGGAAGTTTGTGTGGAAGGTTGGTTCTTTATGAGAGTATCCATTTTTGAGAGCTCATTCTTAATCTTTCCCTGTTTGTTGTAGAGGATCTTGATCAGGTGATTCCGGTCTTGAGTTCCAAAGCACAAGCATTTGTGGGGGGTGTAAGGATTTTGATTCATCTTTTGGACATTTATTTGGAAAGAAGATGATGTTGTCTGTATCTGTAGATTTGTTACAAGTTTCTTCATGCAGTTGATAGATTTCCACTCCATACGGCTAAATGCAGTGCCTTGCCATTACCCTATGATCCCACTGAGGGTTACCAAAAGCAACTACAGCATTTGCTCAAGAAACTTCCTGAAAAAGCACAAGATCAAATCCGCACAGACACACCCCTGGAACCCCGATCAGGAAAATCCAAACAATAGGACAAAAACAAAAAAATACCCTTATTCAGAGGGGGTCTACTAATTAGTGCTTAGTCCTCCATAACTTACTTACCATTTTAGAATTTAAACACAATGAGCATGAATCACCTTTGTGTCATTCCATTCTTATACTGGTGATAGACTTGCATCACTGTAGGTCTGGAGTAATTCAGTGTTGAATTATTTCCCCCCTCCTTTGCTTTTAATATTTGTTATAATATTTAATTCTGTAAGCCATAGGTGTTTATAGGCCAATTTTAAAAAAACAACCGATCCCTGCCTTGAAGAGCCAACAGTCTGGGACCCTGGTCTTGCAGTGAGTGCTGACTTAGCAGACCCTATACCCATGCACTGCTCATTGAAGGATTGGGATTCAAGTGTCTACTTCTGAAGTCAATGGAAGTTAGAGAAAGGGCAGCAAAAGATTACCCAAAATGGGGATGGTATACAGGAGGGACTGGGGTTACATTAAAAAATAATAAAATCTGTTTTAGTTATGTGCACATCTAGTTGATTCTTCATTTAAAAATGTTTTTTGGTTTGTTTTTTTTTTTGGTTATAACTAGAATAAATTACTAGTATAAATTAAAAACCTACTATAGGAACATTTATTATAACATTCATCACAATAGAATAGGCTGATTAGCTCTTTTCTATATTTGTGCAGCACCCAGCATAATGGGGCCCCAATCCCGTTTGCAGCTTTTACATGCTACAATAATATAATAATAACTACCAGCAATAATAATAATCCTCAGAGCAGAATTTTATAGGTATACAATACTTTAGTTGTGCTAACCTTTGCTTTCCAGTTACTTCGGAGAAAGAGACTGTACCCTTAGGTGCACAATAGGACTCTGAATGTATAGTTTGAACAGCAGAGTGGCTTTGGCGGTCAGTAATATAAGCACGCCTCATTATGCTCACTAAAAATGTTCACACAAAAACAGTCATATAAAAATTGTCTCATACAACCACTGGTTTTGTTTGGTAACTGAAGTCTCTGTTTTTTGCTTTATTAGATGCAGTTCTTAAGCATCTGTTCTCTTTCCTTGCAGTATGCTCCAGCAGGGCTGTATCAGCCTGGTGCAATCACAGATCGCACAGTTCTCAATGTGTTTGGAGGCTTAGTAGGAAACAAAGGCCGTTACATTCTGGACAATCGTAAGGTCAGATATTTTTGAATACCTCAGGCCATCTAACATAATTACAGTTGTTTTATCGTTTCTAAAATCCTGCTTATCTAAAACAAAGAAGGTTATTTGTAAGAATGGTGGTGTCACTGTAGAACTGCTTAAATGAGCAGTGTTGAAATTTAATATGCAGTGTTTGTGAAAATGTTTAGAAAAAGCTTTAGCTTGGAATGGGAGTAAAAACATCTAAAATGTGAAATATGGAGGGTTTTTTTTGTTAAAGATCAAATATTTATGTAAAATTCCAACAGTTTGGTTTTTTTAGAAAGTTCCATTTTATTCTGAGATTCATAGAGGTGCTTCTTAAATCTTTTTTTTTTCTTTTCTTAGACAGGAACTGTGCATCAGGAATTTTACAAAGACTCTGACCTGACAATAGGGGCAGTGATCAATGTTTGGGGAAGGAGGGTAAAACTCTGTGACTGTGATGAATTTACTAAAGAATATTATACGACAAAGTATGGAATCAGTAAGTAGTTATATTTATCCTTTTCTGTGCCCGCTTTTAAACTTTGAATTTAAAAGAATCTATTAATAGCAACCCTTTTATTTTTTTTTAATTAGAAACCGGGAGCTATAACCTGCTTTAAGTAGCTAACAGCAAAATAGTAGTTTTGCAGGGGTCCCAGTGGAGTTGTTATAGAGTCAAGGCCAGAAAGGACCACCCGTCTGACCTCCTGCACATCACAGACCACTAAACACCACCCAACCACATCCAGACCAAGCCCAACAACCAGCATTAGACCAAAGTGTTACAGTCTTCAGGAAACTGAACTATTGTGTGCCAAAGTCAGTGAACAGGACTGAGGTGCACCGATGCAATGGCAGGGAATTGATTTAGTAAGATATACGCAGATGATCCTAGCAAGTGACCTGTGATCCATTCTGCAGAAGAAGGCAAAAAATGCCCAATGTCTGTGCCCATTTGACTTGTGGGAATGTTGCTTCCCATCCTTGGATATGGTGGTCAGTTAGACCCTGAGCATATGAGTGAGACCCACCAGAAGCCCCTGAAGTGTGAGATTTTAGGAACATAAGGCATGAACTGTAAGAGATGTCCAGAGGTGCCTAGCCCAGTCCTCTCTCAGTGCAGGAAACCCTGTCATACAATCCTACTTCATAAATTATCTTAAACCTAATTAGGTTGTTTGCCCCCACAATTCCTGTTGGGAGGCTGTTCCAGATTCTCACCCTTCTGATGGTTAGAAACCTTCTTCAAATTTCCCGCCTAAATTTATTCATGGTCAATTTATACCCATTTATTCTTGTGCCAACATTGCCCCATAGCTTAAATAGCTCTTTGCTCTCCCTGTATTTAGAGAGAGCAATGATATCCCCTCCCAGCCTTTGTTTTGCTAATCTAAAAAAACCAAGCTCTTTTAGCCTCCCCTTGTAAGGTAGGGTCTCCATTTCCCTCATCATCCTAGTAACCCTTTTCTACACCTGTGCCAGTTTGAATTCATCTTTCTTGAATATGGGTTATCTTGTGTGATCTATTTAAAGCCAACCCAGATTTGCATGTTATGCCCTTGACTGTGTTTATTTCAAAACCAGAACAATAAAATGATCCTACATAAAGGCTATTGATTCTTCCACTTCCCTGTTCTGATATCCGTACCTTCAGTCAAAGTATGTAAAAGAATGTACATCTGAACATGTGTGTACACTGATTTCATATTCTTCCCCATCACACTGCATTTTGTAAAGATGTCAGATGATCTATTTTCTGAAAATGGTAGCTGAGTTTAGATGTTTGTCTCCCTTGAGATGATTCAGTGCATCCTCACAACAATTGTGTTTTCCTGCACAATGATGCTGGCAAATCTACATTTAATGCTCTCTACTATACAGAATCTGTGCAGTCTGGAACATCACAGCAGCTATCCCATAAAGCCTCAAGAATTGCAAACTGGAACACTGAATTTTGGAAAACAATCAGGGTTTGTCTCCAAGATGGGAAAACATTCTGGGAGTATGGGATTTAGTTTAGCAATCCCAGAATTCCCCATTCAGAATCAGAGCTGTTTTTAGTATGGGTGTCTCCTTGGAAGAGCAGTTTATCCTACCATCAATTTAGTTATCCAGTGAATAGATACTAACATGTATCTGGACTGCTCAAAAGTGGTGAGAAAAGTGGTGCTACAACCCTTTCCTGACATGTGAAACCAGATATCAGGGTAGACTTGTTTGTGACCCAGACTCATGACCAGATGGAACACAGAGTTTGGACCAAAGTCCAATTAACTCCTTGGTGGAATGAGGTACTGTAGTGCTGTAGAATGACAGCAGCAAATGACTGAAAAACATCAGAAGGAGGAAGGCCACCTTTTTATTTCTCATAAATAGTGGAGCTTGGCCCACTATTACAGTAGAAGCCTTTATTGAAGCTAACTACACATATTGAATACTGCTGCTTGCCTCACTTGTTGGCATTAGAAAAAAAAAACAGTTGGAACAATACTGGTGCAAATATGCCAGACATTAAACAAGACCCTATCAGAACATGTTGTTAAAATGAAGAATGTCCATACCGTGATTGCTGGAATGGTGAATGGGGCTTCTGTAATTGGGGTGGTGTGGTAAATGAAACACACACAACTATTATCTGCCCACCAAGTAATACAGCTAAATATTACGGCTGCAAAGGTTGTTTCTCTAGCGTAATAGTGGCTGGTTGACTGCTGGTACTAGTTTATGGATATTAACTTCAGCTAGTTGGGCAAGTTTATGAGAGGGCAGAATGGCACACTGTTTCCCATGCAAATATCAGAAAAATAAATAGTGTGTATTAGGGTGGTAGGATCTATGATTCTATGTAGAAATGCAGGCATCTCAATATGACCCACTTTGTTAGCAGGGGTTAGAACCTTGCATAAAGCTGCTAAGTTTTGCTGACTTACCGTGATGTGTTAACCCCCTGGATACCTTATCAGGATATAAAAAGGAGTGACCTTTTAGTCAGAGGGGACTAAGGGTAGAGACAAGGAGGTCCTGTGGGTAATTCTTGGAACAGGTAGGGTTGGGGGAGAAAACTCAAGGTTGGGGTTTATGTTTTGTTGTTTGTGAGTTACCAATAAATTCAAACCCCAGGAAAAGGGTATGTTTGTCCTCCATGGAGCTTGTGCAGACTTTATTTGGAGCGGGCAGAAATACCTCTGTGGGCTTGATCATGCAATGTGCGCAGCACTCTGTTCCTGATCCAGAAAAGCATTTAAGCACATGCTTAGTTTTAACTTGTCTTCAGTAGGACTGTGCCCTTGGCAAAGGTTAAGCACTTGCTTAAGTGTTTTGTTAAATTGGGACCAGAGTGCTCAGCACCTTCCAGGACCAAGCTCACTGGTGCTGTTGTGACTTCGAGTTACCCATCTTACCTCTTGCTGTTCTTTGTTCAAGCATTTATTTGACTACATGGCTTCAGCAGGAGTTGTATGCTAATAGAATTGCCTTTTAGGAGGACAAGGAGATTTCTCTTGAAGTGCAGTTGTTATGATAATCAATATGTTTCCAATGTTTCTGCCTGTTTTGCTCTGCATAATATTTGTGAAAGCAAAGGGAAAGTTTTCAAAGGACAGCAGCTTTGTAAACGATAGCTCATGCCCTTCAGCGGGAAGCCTGACATTATTATGGATGAATGCAGCACTGGTCTGAATGCAAGAGAAAGACACCTTAATGTCGGATATAGTCTGCCTAAATTTTGCTAATGCAGCTGCATAGAAAGAGAAGGATGATCTGAATGCAGCAATGGCCACATATGCATTATAGACAATGAATGCCCAAATGAAATGGGAAACATACTCTTGAGTGTGTCTCTGAGGAGAACTATATTTATGCTTTTTACTTACTGTCTCATCATAGCACAGAAGTAGAGTAAGAAGTGTCCTTTCATAAATAATATTTAATTAATAAATAATAGAAAAGTATGTGGAGGGGGAAGAGGGCCTCCTATTATTCTTGTGAGCCAAAATTAAATAGTGTCACATTTTTGGTTGCACTGCCAACCATGTGACAAATAGGTGCTCTTGTAATATTCCTTTTGGAAGGCAGGAGAAAAGGAGGCATTGCCTCTTTGTTTTACTTGGTAGGTGAACTGTGAAGCAGGATCTCATGTCACTAAAATAAAGTTGGAAACTAGGGGAGGCCTCTTCTATACCTGTTGGTTGTTGGCAAATGCATGAACCTAGCATTATGTCCAGTACTAGTCATCTGTGTTTAGTCCAAGGGAATTGCAAGTACCCCTTCACTGGTACTTTTAAAACTCCATTGAAATTGGAAGCAAAAGATGAAATCTCAAATTTGAAAGCTGATTTCTTGCCAGCATAATGCTTTTGCTATGCCACCGAACTGGTCCTTATCACCAGTTTTGCTACTGAGAAGACTACATAATATTCAAGTTGTTTTTATTCTTAAGGGGGACTGGATGGCTCTGGGGATTAATAATGGGATATAAAGTTTTTTGCCTTAATGTTGCTGGTTCAGATCTTGTTTCGTGATTGAAAGTGGTTAGAATGTAGTGACTGGTATGTTATGTGAAATGAATTTGAGGGTGTCAGTGGGTAGGTGTTCTGGTCACCAAAACCAGCACCACAGTTAGGTTCCTTGAATTGCTCTGGAGACTGAACTGCTCTCTCACGCATAGAGTATGTCTTCACTACACAGATAACGCAGGCTTTTACTTGGGTTTTAGCCCGAGTTCCCTAATATCTAGATAGAAAATCCTCTGACTCAGATCTGAGAGTGCTTTAAGCCCAGGCTATCTTACATTGCTCAGCTGGAGGCATGGGTTAGAGCCCATTTTCACTTCGGCTAGAACCCACCCACTTGGCAGTGAAGATGTAGACAAAATCACTGATGTTCTGGTAGTCCTCCGATGCCCTTCCCACAGTCCCTCCAGACAGACAAGTTCTCCCTCAACTGACTGGGAATGACTCCTACAGCAAAGGAGTATGGGATATACCTCCCTCCCATCCCTCCAGATACGCATGGCCGAAGGCAGAAACAGTGATGACACATTAAGTAGGGTAGGACTGTGCAGTGGGGGCACTCACACTTGGGCACCTAACCCAGGTGCTCAGACCCAGATGTCAATCATCCAGATTAACTGTGGAGTGAAGACATACCCATCGAGATGATCCTTCAGTTTCAAGATTGAACTGCATTGATGCAGCAGGGTGGAGAAGACTGCCAGTGCCTATGGTGTACCTGTCCTGTCCATGAATAGGATTTCATTACCCAGGCTTTCAATACCACAGTAAATTCACATTAAAGTGTTACAAGGAATGGTACAAGGTCATCATAGTAGGGGACGACCAATGAGGAGATGGATAGATGTTGTGCAGCAGATCACTGGAAGATCAACTGCTGTGTGTGCAAAGTTAGCTATGGATTGAGAAGGATTCTGAAAATATTGCTATGCTATCAAGAGTAGTCAGACTTGAATAAATGGACTTTACTTACTTTATTTTCTGTATTGGTCCCTAATGATTTGCAAGATTTCTTTTGTGAAGAACATATAAGAACATCGGGTTACTCTGCAGATTATTACAGCAAGCGACATATTTACAAATGTTCAAAAATACTTCTGCTAAACTGTTTTGTTACAGACTTTCAGGACTTTAATAGAGATAAAATATGAATTCAGGGATAACAAATCATTAAATTCTTAGGAATTGGTTCTGAGGGCCAAAGTTAAAGACCATACAGGAATATTACATAATTACACAGAGCCCAATCTAGACTGGCTTTATGTAACGGGACCTGGGAAGACAAAAAATGGACACCTAAATACAACAGCAATTGAATACTATAGTATTTTGTTGATATTGTGACTTATTAGTGCTATATTAAGCATGGTTGATTACAGGTATGACCGACACATTAAAACATGTGTACAATTGCTGAGTACCAAGAGAGTAAAACTAAATTGAGTAATTATCTTGTCTACTAGACATACACTAGGTGGCACTCTTGGAGTGCAAGAAAGATCTTAATCAGTGTTCCATTTGTTATGTAGGTCCCACAAATTAAAGCTACTGTAATTGAGAATAATAAACATTATAAATCTGATAGTTCTTTTTCAACTAGAGAATACATGTGTGATCACCTGTAATTCAACATATAAACTCACATAGGGGTTTTTCCCCCTCTCAATATGCAGAGACTTATGTACACAGTGTTTTGTTTTTTAACTAGAGTCGGACATGTAACTCCTCACACACTACACTGAAATTTTCTAGAGGGTCAATATTGCCAGAAATAATGTTTTTAGAAAATAATATTTTGTCATGTGTTTACTTATATGATTCTACTCTGTTACAGTGATGGCTTTTGGTGTAAAATTTGAAAATTTCCTAGCAGGAGACTTCTTTTTATGTATTGATTTAGGATTTGAGCCCCCCCCTCCCCCCGACTAGTTGCGCTATATCTATATCTGTATATATAAAGGGCATGTGTAACTTCTGAGGGAAATACATTGGCAGCTTTGTTTTTATAGAAACTCCTCTTGACTGGTTCAAGAGGAGGTGTTAGATTTTCCATTAAGAACTTATTTTCAACAGGATATGTTGCAATAGAAGTAACTGCTGAAGGAAGCATGGAGAAGGTGCTTCTTGTGTTTAGGACTTATACTTAGGAGAAATTCTGACATCTGAATTCTTGCTCTACTTTTCAACAACAAACTTGTGTTAGATAAATCTGAATTTAAAAGAGTAGGTTGCTATGATCTTCGTTTATTAGCATGTTCTAAATCACCGGCTCTCAAACTCCATTGCGCTGCAACCCCATTCTGACAACAAAAAGTACTACATGACCCCAGAAGTGGGGACCACAGCCTGAGCCCACCAAAGCCCGAGCCCTGCTACCCTGGGCAGGGGGCCTGTAACCTGATCTCCATCGCCCAGGACTGAAGCCCAAACATGAGCCCCACCACCCAGGGTGGAAGCCCTCTGGCTTTGACTTTGGCCCCAGCAAGTCTAACACCAGCCCTGGTGCTCCCATTAGAATGGGGTTGTGACCTACTTTGGGGCCCCGACATAGTTTGAGAACCCCTATTTTAAATAGATATGTAGACTGAAAAAGCACTTCAGGAAAAGTTTGAATTGGCCCAAATTTCACCCTTTTCCTCTACATGTGCCAAAACCAAACCTACAGTACAACAATGTTGGGGATGTTTCAGATAAAAAATTCATTCTTCATTCAATCAGTTTTTCTTCCTATAGAACTGTGTGTAAATTTCACCATTTTCACTGGATACTTTTGTTTTGGTAATGAAAAGGGAAAAAATAGTGAATTAAATCTCTCCCACTCCAGGTAGAAGAGACAAGGCTTGGGAAGAAAAAAAAAACCCATTCTTGTTTGTGGCCATTGTTGTACACTGCCTTTCTGAGGCCCTCAGTTCTTTCATGGACCATGGATGCTGTGACATCCTTCTGGCTGGTGATTTGCCTAGTGCGTTGTCCTTTTGTTTTCCAACATCTATCAGTGTTGCTTCAATGTTAATAAACTTTATTTTCAGGGAAAATAATAATCAAAACTGTATCTGTTTAGGTTCTTATGTCGGCTGTAAGCCTCAATAGCTGTTGCAAGTCGTAATACTGGGAAACACAGGTTCAGGGGAGCAACTATGGCACGCTAGAGCAGCAGCTGATACTGGGGCAGCAGGATCTTTGCTAGATATAGGGATCAGGGTGGACCTTATAACAGCTTGTTGAGCTGACAGGCATATGTGAAGAGAGGACAGATTGGTTATTGGTCATGTTCATGTGGAGAAAGGGATCATAGTTGTGGAATAATGCTGATGAGTGAGTCTGGAGCTAAGGCAATATATAAGAGTAGGGTAGGGGAAGGACTATAAAAGTAAAGCTTCAGAAAGTTTGGATGTATTTGGGATAGGACTGAATTTATTGGCAACTTGCCAAGACTGACATAAACCTTTGAGTTCTTCCAATACAAACATAGAAATTGACAAAAAACAGAGAAAAATATCACAAGTAAGGAATTTAAATTGTGGAATGATCCCAAGGGGTAAGAGTTGAAAAGTGGTTTTAAAAATTTGGTTCTTCTGTTTAGGAATAATATTTCCCTTCCTATTGACTGATTTCTGCCAAACATTACTGGGCATGGATGAAATCCTGGCCCCATCAAAATTATGATTGCAGTTTTGCCACTGATTTCAATAAGGCCTGCATTTCACCCTATAAATAGTGAAGCAAGCATGATTTAAAGAGAGAGGTTCTGCTCTGTTACTCGGATATATTAATAGACATCTATACTGAAAATGCAATATCTTTAATAAAATAGCATTATCTGAAGAAAAAATCTTGCTATCTTATTTTCTTATAGAGGATTTTACTCCAGTTCCATTCAAGGCTCCACCTCCTCCAAAAATAGAAAGGAAGTTTCCACCATACACTGGATTTGGCTCTGAAGAGGATTCTCTAGGCTCCTGCATGAGCCTTCTTCCCCAACCTCCCCAGAAAGATTTCAAGAAATTCTTGGAGAAAGACAGGTATTTTAGTGAAAGATAATCCCAGTTGTGGCAAAATGGCCCATGTTAGTATGGTGGGTCCTGCGCTTTTCTTGGCAGGGGGCTAAGATGCCACCTCTTGCCCCTGCTCTTGGGCCACTGAGGTCCCCAACAGTGGCCCGGGAAGGTGGTAGAGGACGGAAGCAGGGGAGGGGTCTGGGTTTGCTCCTCACTCTGAGCCCCAGCCCCTCTCAACTCCTGTGGGTTCTTACCCTCCTCCCCCTTGGGTGAGGAACCTTCGGTCCTTAGATGTTGGGGGAGGAAGTCTCCCTCCCCTGCGGGGGCGGGTCTCCCTTACTTCAGTTCTCTGTTTTTTCAAATCTTACAATACACCTCCAAGTTCCAGTCCTCTCTCCTTCTCCTCCTCCCCTGACTGCCTGAAGCAGGGGGTTTTATTAGATTCCCGACAGGGCTTAATTGACTACAGGTGCTCCAATTAACCTGTAGCAACCCTTCCTAGTCTACAGGGAACCACGCCTTAATTAGCCTAGGGTTTATATATTTCCCCTCTACCACTGCTTCCTGGCCCACCTGTATCACATAGTCAATATTTTTAATTCCTAGTTGCAGGGGAGAGTGGTGTTAAGTGAAATCTCAAGGTTACCTGACGTAAGTTTCCAGGTGTATTAGGACTTGGTTAGCAACATTGCATTCGGCATTTCTGTGAACTAGGCAAATACGGTCTTCTATGAAGTTAGGGTCTAATCTGATTCCCATTAAAATAAATACAAAGACTCCTTTGACTTCATCTGGCATTGGATCAGGCTCTGAGGGTATGTCTACACTTGGAGTTAGGGTGTGATTCCCATCTCGAGTAGACATATTTGCACTAGCTCTCATTGAGCTATCATACTAAAAAAAAGTTATGTAGCTGTGGTAGCACATGCAGTGGTGAGAGGTGGTTGGGGCTAGCTGCCCCAACTATGAGCCAACCAGGCCCCGTGGATACATACTCAGGGTGGCTAGCCCGGACTGCTGCTGCCACTCCCGGTGTCACCGTTGTTCCACTACTATTTGTAGCATGCTAGCTGGGTGAGAGTGTGAGTATATCTACTTGAGCTGGCAGTCACCTCCCCCAGCTCCAAGTGTAGACAACTAAAAAGAATTTCAGAAGATCCACAAATATGATATAACCCCCGTTTGTTTCTCTTGAGATTTCCTGAGAGTTCTTTTCTTTGTTGACTGGTTTTCATGCACAGTTGTACTATAGCAATATGAAAACATTAGCACCTTTTATTTCCATTGTGGGTTATACAGACTGTGACATGATTTATGAGTCCTGAGTAAAAAACAAAGCTGCATTGCAGATCTGAGGTTCATTAACCCACGTGTAGAGCCTTCAGAAAAGGAGAATGCTATTAGAAGACTTGGTAAAATTTTAATAATTTATATAACCTCTGTATATTTTAAAATAGTAACGTCTAAATCAATAAATATACTATTGTTGAATTCATTTGGTTTTCACATTTAAAAAAATAGCCACATGGGAAAAGAATCTGATTGGCCAAATTTCCTGGAGAGGGTCCTGACATGTATTTTGATTTGTATTTAGGTTTGAAAATGAATACATCTAAAAAATGTTCCCCCCCCCAATTAAATTTCTGGAAATAAACTTTGAGCCTTATTTGCAATTGAGATTGAATACAGATGCAATCAGAATCTGTAATCAGAGAACCAATTGTGCCCTGAAAAATAATTCCTTTCTATCTGGCTGACCCTGCTTAGCTTTGTTAACCCCAGCTGAAAATTATTTTTGAAAAAATAGGGAACTTCATTCCATTTCCTGTCCAGACCAAGAATAACACAGTTTATTTCACAAAATGCGTCTCCAAGCGATGAAAAGGTTCATCATTCTATATACTGAATTTCTTGCCACTTCTTCTGCCCTCATAGAAAAGGCCTCGAAAGTAACCTGCTGCGCTTTCTTGCAAAATTTATTACTGATAATCCCATTGACAAGGATCGGCAATTCATTATTTCTTATTTTCTGAGTGATGACACAATTTCAGTGTTTGAGACCCCACAGCGAAATACAGGTAAGAGATAATAATCCTCTGGAAGCAATTCCAAGAGCTCTGCTGCTTTGATTAAAATGTAGTGATCATTAAACCCTAATGCAGAACTCAGTCCTAATGGAAGCCTGTGCAAATCCTTTTGAATTCAGTCAGATCTACATTTGCTTCTTTTGGGCTTGACAGAGGTCTACAGTTTTACCTTAATAGTAGTTTGTTGTGCTAATTTATAATCTGTGATACTCAGAATGAAACCATTTGTTGTAAGACAGCACTTCACAACATTTAAAGTTATTGGCTCCTAAAGATGGTGGCACATATTCTATTTGCAAATCTTATCCAGGGGAGCTTGCTTTTGTTACAGGTAACTTATAGAAATTGTACTGTTGTCATTGATGGTAAATAGGGATAAACCCATAGAAAACATAACAGATTGGAAATCATACAGTAAGTTCTATGTTTTGCAGGATCAATATTATTATTCTAGCTATATGTTTTCCATTATATAAAGGCACGGTATAAAAACAAAATCATTGTAATTATTTTAATATATGTAACAATATCTTAAACAATATACAGTTTATTGGCATTTGAAGGGTAAATTTGGTCTTGTGCCAGTAGCTGTCCTAGTGACCTACTAGAGTGACATTGATTTGAATTCGAGGAGACAGCTCATCCAGCCTTTCTAGAGATGAACGCTTCAAGTTCTTGTCCATATATATTTCACTGTTGGTGAGCATGCATCCAATACAATTAAGTCCAGATACTTTGGGCCAGCAATGTTCTTTGGGGGTCATGCCTGCGCCCTGAGTATTCTGGTGCCTCTGAGGGCCAAAAGGGCAGGGCGATCCTACCCTTCATTTCCTTCTCCCTTCCTCTGGGTATGGGTTGGAACTTGCAGTGTCCAAGCTTCTTTGCTCATTATGTGGCCTATTCTTTGTCATGTAAATAATTCTGGATAGTGGGGTGCTTAGTAGTTAGTTAGTTAATAGTGTTATTGTTACAGATTTTTGGTAGTAATTCCTTTCTTCCTTTTAGAAGGAAATTCACTTTTTTTGTTTTCCTGTGAGTTAGCTCTGGTACTCAGATCAGTCATTATGGCTGAGCAGAAATCTCCAGGCTTCAAAAATTCCTCTTCCTGCAAGGCTGTAATGCCTTCCAATGATGGGCACACTAGATGCTTGCTGTGTCTGGGTGAAGTGCACATAACAGAATCACGTACCATCTGTAAATCATTTTCTATGAGAACCCAAAGAGCTAGGGAGTCTCCTCTGAAAATATTCTCTCTGGAGAGGTCAGTGCATCCCAGTCAAACTCCGAGACACCTGGAGCAGCAGTTTCTTAACACTCATCATCTCAAAGTGCTCTGGCTGCCTCCTTAACTCCTGGAGTCAAAGTGGGAGCAGAAGCAGCCAAACTAGGGAATGCTGCACTGGGTGTGGGGTAAAATGGGGCCTCATGGGGTGATCTCTGACTATAGCATCTCCTTGAACCGTGAACTATGCAGGGGAGACTTCCCGCTACTCTGGAGGCACTAGGATCCAGGTGGTGCCTCCCCTTTTCCCTTATAATGTGGCCTAGCTGACCAGAGTCTCCAGCCGGCTGGAGCAGAAATGACCAAAGTTTTAACTGGACTTTCTCTGCCCTGTGTTTGATTGGGTGTTCCAGCACACTCCTCTCCCTCCCTCCCATTCTTTTCACCTCAGCTTCACACCACACCCGTCCCTCTTATCCTGTCTCCCTCATGCCCTGGCCTTCTGTGTCCCATCTCCTTTCCCTTTTCTTTCCATTTAACCAATCTCTTCCTAAGTAAATCAACACCCTAACACCCCCACAAAAAAAAAACTTGTGGAATTAGTTTAATGTTAGCTCCCATCACACTATTCACTCTGCCATTGTTAGCAACTCCTTCCTCCACTCTCTGTTTCTCTTGTCTATTTAGACTGTAAGCTCTTTGGGGCAAGGACCACCTACACCTCTGGGTTTGTACAGTGTCTCTCAAAGAGGGGTCCATTCTTTGTTGGCCCTTAGACACTATGATATTATTTATTTATTACTGTAGCACCTAGAAACCTCTGTCATAGACCAAGATCTGATTGTGGTAGACACTGTTCAAAATAAACATGATTAATAATTAATAACAATAGCTACTTGTAAAGATCCATATTTCTAGTTTGATAAAATCTCAGGGTACAGAGGAAGGAAAGAGCACGGGACCCACAAAGGAAAGAGATCTCTGTCTTCTTCCTCAAGGAACCATAAATCCTCTCCAACTTCAGAAGAAAAGGCACCCAGTCTGGCACTTGTCACTATGCCTCCCTTGGTAACGCTTAAATCTCTCAGTACAGACCTCTCAGCACCCAGGCCCTGATGTCTCTCACACTAATAACCCTGGCACCATGACCATCTACTCACCTGTCTTTGATACCAACATATTTGGTATCGAAATCCTATATAGCATTGAAAGACCTACTGGTCTCTTCAGTGCTGGACTATCCACTATTAGCAGTAATGAAACTGCCTCCCCCAGCGCTGACTGCTGCTCTGACACTGGTACCAGGTACATTAGTGGTACCAACCAGAGCACAGACTAAAGGTGCTCCTAGCACACTAGCTGCTATAGCTCTTCCTCTCCAGGAGGACTATACATTCTCCTCCTCAGGTTCTGAAGGCAGTAGGGAGGTTGGACCAATTTGTTCCCCAGGGTCCAGATATTCAGGCAGCATACCATGGAGAGGGAGTCAAGGGTTGAGTTTTATTACCCTAGACATAGAAGCTCAAAGAAGGATAGAATTATCTGGTATCCTCTCCCTTGGCCACTTGTATCTTGTGCTTAACAGTACCTTTGTCTGTATTGGGCTCTGGGAGGAAATCATCAGTCTAGAAGGCCAGTGTCTGCCTCCCAATCCAGGATTAACTCCCCTTCTTCGCCTCAACCAACCCAATCTGCTCCACTCCAGCTGAACAGACATTAATGGTTCATAAGAATCATAGAATCATAGAATATAAGGGTTGGAAGGGACCCCAGAAGGTCATCTAGTCCAACCCCCTGCTCAAAGCAGGACCAATTCCCAGTTAAATCATCCCAGCCAGGGCTTTGTCAAGCCTGACCTTAAAAACCTCTAAGGAAGGAGATTCTACCACCTCCCTAGGTAACGCATTCCAGTGTTTCACCACCCTCATAGTGAAAAAGTTTTTCCTAATATCCAATCTAAACCTCCCCCACTGTAACTTGAGACCATTACTCCTCGTTCTGTCATCTGCTACCATTGAGAACAGTCTAGAGCCACTGTTCCAGTGAGGAATCCCAAGCAGAGGACATCTTAACCCAGTTTCAAACGTCCTCATCATCCCTGCCTGAGATTGTAGTCCCTGAGTCCTCTACCTCAACCCCAGAGGGCTATAAGATGTTCCAGGAATAGCTGACCCGCTGGAGATTCCAGCTGAAGCAGTACAGGAAAAGTCACAGAAGCTTCTAGACATCCTACACAAGTCCATACTTGGATCTCTTGCATTGCCCATCAAAGGTGGACTGCTAGAGTCAGCTAAATTGCTCTGGCAGACACCTGTCTCTTTGGTATCAGCATCAAAGAGCTCAGATCATCATCTCCACCTATTGTCTTCCCAGGGTATTGAGCAATTTTATACACACTGGCTGGCATCATGGATGGTTCTTGTGGTGAATGAGAGGTCACATGGAAGGCAACACAAAGCAACATCAAAAGACAAGGAACCCCCCAAAATAATTTTTTTTGGGTGGGGAAAATTACTCCACATCAAACCTCCAAATGAGAATTGTTAACTACCAAGCCTGGTTGGCAAAATACAATTATCTGAAGTGGGATTACATGGTTAAATTTGCAGACAGGCTTCTTTAAGACAGTAGGGAAGAATTTAAGTGGCTGAAGGTGAGGTTGTGTTATGCATATCGCTCCAAGCAGCTTGTGAAGCTTCAGGTATAGCTTCTAGATCTATGGTGACCTCATTCCTATAAGGGATCCTCATGTCTCCGCCAGGGTGGATAAAAATCAATGATTTTTTTTTTATTTAAATCCAATTGTTTTGATAAAATGCTTTTTGAGGAAAAAACCTATGTAAACATAGATACATTATAGCTCAAAGATATTTCATCATGAATTAGAATTTATAATCCCTATTCCTTTAGCATGAGACAATATATTCATGTAATGTTTAAGAAAAGTTTTGTAAATGAGTTCCAATAGTTTATGGACTAGGGACCCAATCTTATGGGGTTCCAGAGGCTTCTGTATAGATTATTTAGGTTAATCTTTCTATAGTGCTCAGTCTAGAAGGTACCATCAGAGATGCTTAGTTTTGCAGTTCTCAAACTGTGGATTTGTGTCTCCAGAGATAACATGCTTGTTAACAGCAAAAATGTTTTTAAATAAATAAATAATATATAGAGGTGAGAAATAACAGACCTCAGCCCTATTGTCTGCAAATTTGTGTACACAGAATCAATCGCTTACCTCTCCTTAAAAGTGCAAAGTTTCAAAAAGTTCAATGACTAGAAGATTGTTGGGGGTGGAATAGACCTGGACAAGGAGAAGAAGTCTGAAGATAAATGTGAGAAGGGAGGGACAGGCAGTAGAAACAAATATGAAACTGTTTGAGCAGCATATTCCAGAAGTCTTAATGTCTGTCTGAGTGTAGCCTTCATTGATTTGAGATCTACCATAATATTCTCTCACTAGGCGGGAAAACCCATAATGGCAGCAGGCCGTAAAAGAGACCCAGTTTGGGAATATTGTGGGTAAGACAGGCATGCGTGCAAAATGCAAACAGTGCAAGAAAGAAATGCAAAGCCTGGTTGCCCGAATGAAACAACATCATGAGAAGTATTTTAAAGAATCCTTATTGAGGTTACAGGAACAAACCATCCCAATATGTAGAAAGAATAGTAAATATGGCAGGCAACCAGCTTGGCTTAACAGTGAAATCCTTGCTGATCTTAAACACAAAAAAGAAGCTTACAAGAAATGGAAGATTGGACAAATGACCAG